TAGAGCTGACAGTTGCAGACAGGAGGAAGCACTGGGGCCTGGAGACTTGTTCTCGTTTCAATCCCAAAGTCTCATCATCTCTGTCAGAGCAAAACAGGACTACTCCCTCCCCCCCCTCCCTCCCTCCCCTCCTCCCTCCCTCCCCTCCCCTCCCTCCCCCTCCCTCCCCCTCGTCTGTGCTAATTACCCCAGATAGAAGTCAGCGCAGAAATGTGTGGATGGATGGGAATATTTGGTTATGTTTCTACACATGGCTGTAGACCCAGGACTGAGGCTGTAGACCCAGGATGACTGTAGACCCAGGACTGAGGCTGTAGACCCAGGACTGAGGCTGTAGACCCAGGACTGAGGCTGTAGACCCAGGACTGAGGCTGAGGCTGTAGACCCAGGACTGAGGCTGTAGACCCAGGGACTGAGGCTGTAGACCCAGGACTGAGGCTGTAGACCGGACTGAGGCGTGACCAGGACTGAGGCTTAGTAGACCCAGGACTGAGGCTGTAGACCCAGGACTGAGGCTGTAGACCAGGACCTGACCAGGACTGAGGCCGTAGACCCAGGACTGAGGCTGTAGACCCAGGACTGAGGCTGTAGACCCAGGACTGAGGCTGTAGACCTGCAGGACTGAGGCTGTAGACCCAGGACTGAGGCTGTAGACCCAGGACTGAGGCTGTAGACCCAGGACTGAGGCTGTAGACCCAGGACTGAGGCTGTAGACCCAGGATGAGGCTGTAGACTGAGGCTGTAGACCCAGGACTGAGGCTGTAGACCCTGGACTGAGGCTGTAGACCCAGGACTGAGGCTGTAGACCCAGGACTGAGGCCGTAGACCCAGGACTGAGGCTGTAGACCCAGGACTGAGGCTGTAGACCCAGGACTGAGGCTGTAGACCCAGGACTGAGGCTGTAGACCCAGGACTGAGGCTGTAGACCCAGGCAGACCCGGACTGAGGCTGTAGACCCAGGACTGAGGCTGGTAGACCCAGGACTGAGGCTGTAGACCCAGGACTGAGGCTGTAGACCCAGGACTGAGGCTGTAGACCCAGGACTGAGGCTGTAGATGTGGTTGTCCCAAAACTTTCCATTGAGATAAATATGAATGAATAATAAAGTTAGGTACCCCAGCTTTACTCGTGGTCTTTGATGCTTTGAACTGGGCGTGTGCAGCAGGTGTGTGTCAGGTGTGTGTCAGGTGTGTGTCAGGTGTGTGTCAGGTGTGTGTCAGGTGTGTGTCAGGTGTGTGTCAGGTGTGTGTCAGGTGTGTGTCAGGTGTGTGTCAGTGTGTGTCGTGTGCAGGTGTGTGTCAGGTGTGTGTCAGGTGTGTGTCAGTGTGTGTGTCAGGTGTGTGTCAGGGTGTGTGCAGGTGTGTGTCAGGTGTGTGTCAGGTGTGTGTCAGGTGTGTTGTCAGGTGTGTGTCAGTGTGTGTCAGGTGTGTGTCAGGTGTGTGTCAGGTGTTTGTCAGGTGTGTGTCAGGTGTGTGTGGTCGTGTGTCAGGTGTGTCAGGTGTGTGTCAGGTGTGTGTGCAGGTGTGTGTCAGTGGTGTGTGTCAGTGTGTCAGGTGTGTGTCAGGTGTGTCAGGTGTGTGTCAGTGTGCAAGTGTGTGTCAGGTGTGTGTCAGGTGTGTGTCAGTGTGTGTCAGGTGTGTGTCAGGTGTGTGTCAGGTGTGTGTCAGGTGTGTGTCAGAGTGTGTGTGTGCAGGTGTGTCAGATGTGTCAGGTGTGTGTGTCAGGTGTGTGTCAGTGTGTGTCAGGTGTGTGTCAGGTGTGTGTCAGGTGTTTGTCAGGTGTGTGTCAGGTGTGTGTCAGGTGTGTGTCAGGTGTGTGTCAGGTGTGTGTCAGGTGTGTGTCAGGTGTGTGGTCAGGTGTTTGTCAGGTGTGTGTCAGGTGTGTCAGGTGTGTGTGCAGGTGTGTGTCAGGTGTTTGTCAGGTGTGTGTCAGGTGTGTCAGTGGTGCAGCGTGTGTGTGTCAGGTGTTGTCAGGTGTGTGTCAGGTGTGTGTCAGGTGTGTGTCAGGTGTGTGTCAGGTGTGTGTCAGGTGTGTGTCAGGTGTGTGTCAGGTGTGTGTCAGGTGTGTGTCAGGTGTGTGTCAGGTGTGTGTCAGGTGTGTGTCAGGTGTGTGTCAGGTGTGTTGTCAGGTGTGTGTCAGGTGTGTGTCAGGTGTGTGTCAGGTGTGTGTCAGGTGTGTGTCAGGTGTGTGTCAGGTGTGTGTCAGGTGTGTGTCAGGTGTGTGTCAGGTGTGTGTCAGGTGTTTGTCAGGTGTTGTCAGGTGTGTGTCAGGTGTGTGTCAGGTGTGTGTCAGGTGTGTGTCAGGTGTTGTGGTGTCAGGTGTGTGTCAGGTGTGTGTCAGGTGTGTGTCAGGTGTGTGTCAGGTGTGTGTCAGGTGTGTGTCAGGTGTGTGTCAGGTGTGTGTCAGGTGTGTGTCAGGTGTGTGTCAGGTGTGTGTCAGGTGTGTGTCAGGTGTGTGTCAGGTGTGTGTCAGGTGTGTGTCAGGTGTGTGTCAGGTGTGTGTCAGGTGTGTGTCAGGTGTGTGTCAGGTGTGTGTCAGGTGTGTGTCAGGTGTGTGTCAGGTGTGTGTCAGGTGTGTGTCAGGTGTGTGTCAGGTGTGTGTCAGGTGTGTGTCAGGTGTGTGTCAGGTGTGTGTCAGGTGTGTGTCAGGTGTGTGTCAGGTGTGTGTCAGGTGTGTGTCAGGTGTGTGTCAGGTGTGTGTCAGGTGTGTGTCAGGTGTGTGTCAGGTGTTTGTCAGGTGTGTGTCAGGTGTGTGTCAGGTGTGTGTCAGGTGTGTGTCAGTGTGCAGCAGGTGTGTGTCAGGTGTGTGTCAGGTGTGTGTCAGGTGTGTGTCAGGTGTGTGTCAGGTGTGTGTCAGGTGTTTGTCAGGTGTGTGTCAGTGTGCAGCAGGTGTGTGTCAGGTGTGTGTCAGGTGTGTGTCAGGTGTGTGTCAGGTGTGTGTCAGGTGTTTGTCAGGTGTGTGTCAGGTGTGTGTCAGGTGTGTGTCAGGTGTGTGTGTCAGTGTGTCAGGTGTGTGTCAGGTGTTTGTCAGGTGTGTGTCAGGTGTGTGTGGTGTGTGTCAGGTGTGTGTCAGGTGTGTGTCAGTGTGCAGCAGGTGTGTGTCAGGTGTGTGTCAGGTGTGTGTCAGGTGTGTGTCAGGTGTGTGTCAGTGTGCAGCAGGTGTGTGTCAGGTGTGTGTCAGGTGTGTGTCAGGTGTGTGTCAGTGTGTGTCAGGTGTGTGTCAGATGTGTGTCAGGTGTGTGTCAGGTGTGTGTCAGGTGTGTGTCAGTGTGCAGCAGGTGTGTGTCAGGTGTGTGTCAGGTGTGTGTCAGGTGTGTGTCAGTGTGCAGCAGGTGTGTGTCAGGTGTGTGTCAGGTGTGTGTCAGGTGTGTGTCAGGTGTGTGTCAGGTGTTTGTCAGGTGTGTGTCAGGTGTGTGTCAGGTGTGTGTCAGGTGTGTGTGTTCAGGTGTGTGTCAGGTGTTTGTCAGGTGTGTGTCAGTGTGCAGCAGGTGTGTGTCAGGTGTGTGTCAGGTGTTTGTCAGGTGTGTGTCAGGTGTGTGTCAGGTGTGCAGCAGGTGTGCAGCAGGTGTGTGTCAGGTGTGTGTCAGGTGTGTGTCAGGTGTGTGTCAGTGTGCAGCAGGTGTGTGTCAGGTGTGTGTCAGGTGTGTGTCAGGTGTGTGTCAGGTGTTTGTCAGGTGTGTGTCAAGTGTGTGTCAGGTGTGTGTCAGGTGTGTGTCAGGTGTTTGTCAGGTGTGTGTCAGGTGTGTGTCAGGTGTGTGTCAGGTGTGTGTCAGTGTGCAGCAGGTGTGTGTCAGGTGTGTGTCAGGTGTGTGTCAGGTGTGTGTCAGTGTGTGTCAGGTGTGTGTCAGATGTGTGTCAGGTGTGTGTCAGGTGTGTGTCAGTGTGTGTCAGGTGTGTGTCAGGTGTGTGTCAGTGTGCAGCAGGTGTGTGTCAGGTGTGTGTCAGGTGTTTGTCAGGTGTGTGTCAGTGTGCAGCAGGTGTGTGTCAGGTGTGTGTCAGGTGTGTGTCAGGTGTGTGTCAGGTGTGTGTCAGGTGTTTGTCAGGTGTGTGTCAGGTGTGTGTCAGGTGTGTGTCAGGTGTGTGTCAGGTGTTTGTCAGGTGTGTGTCAGTGTGCAGCAGGTGTGTGTCAGGTGTGTGTCAGGTGTGTGTCAGTGTGCAGCAGGTGTGTGTCAGGTGTGTGTCAGGTGTGTGTCAGGTGTTTGTCAGGTGTGTGTCAAGTGTGTGTCAGGTGTGTGTCAGGTGTGTGTCAGGTGTTTGTCAGGTGTGTGTCAGTGTGCAGCAGGTGTGTGTCAGGTGTGTGTCAGGTGTGTGTCAGTGTGCAGCAGGTGTGTGTCAGTGTGTGTCAGGTGTGTGTCAGTGTGCAGCAGGTGTGTGTCAGGTGTGTGTCAGGTGTGCGTCAGTGTGTGTCAGGTGTGTGTCAGATGTGTGTCAGGTGTGTGTCAGGTGTGTGTCAGTGTGTGTCAGGTGTGTGTCAGGTGTGTGTCAGGTGTGTGTCAGGTGTGTGTCAGGTGTGTGTCAGGTGTGTGTCAGGTGTGTGTCAGGTGTGTGTCAGTGTGTGTCAGGTGTGTGTCAGGTGTGTGTCAGGTGTGTGTCAGTGTGCAGCAGGTGTGTGTCAGGTGTGTGTCAGGTGTGTGTCAGGTGTGTGTCAGGTGTTTGTCAGGTGTGTGTCAGGTGTGTGTCAGGTGTGTGTCAGGTGTGTGTCAGGTGTTTGTCAGGTGTGTGTCAGTGTGCAGCAGGTGTGTGTCAGGTGTGTGTCAGGTGTGTGTCAGGTGTTTGTCAGGTGTGTGTCAGTGTGCAGCAGGTGTGTGTCAGGTGTGTGTCAGGTGTGTGTCAGGTGTTTGTCAGGTGTGTGTCAAGTGTGTGTCAGGTGTGTGTCAGGTGTGTGTCAGGTGTTTGTCAGGTGTGTGTCAGTGTGCAGCAGGTGTGTGTCAGGTCTGTGTCAGGTGTTTGTCAGGTGTGTGTCAGTGTGCAGCAGGTGTGTGTCAGGTGTGTGTCAGGTGT